CAAGTAGAAAAATTAAAATTAAAAACAAGGCAAGCAAGCAAATAAAAAAGAGGATCATCTAATTTGTTTGGTATTGGTTTGGATTGGCCAGAATGGAAAATATCCCTCTTCCTGACCCTGCTTCCCAACTTTCCACACATTGCCCACCATCCATTTACAAACTTGGAAGTCTTTTTACATGGATCTGATGGTGGGACATCCAGATATCCTGTTGGATTGTAAGGCTTTCCAACTATGCAGTATGAATGCAATACATAGCCAACTCCAGCCAGGCACACTTTCCAATCCTTTCTCGCAGGTTATAGCATTGCCATTTTTTTTTTTTTTTTTTTAGACTGGGCAAACATCTTACAGGAGCTCCCAGCAAGCCTGAAGTTGAAAGTCTACTGACTTCATCAAGTTCAACTTAAATGCAAATGTTGGCATCTCATCTATGGGTGGTTGGAAAATGATTTGTTTTAAGTTTTGAAAAATGGATGAGTAGAAACTTAAACTGGGCTTTCATTTAGGAAAGTAGGCATTACTGTTGTCAGGTTTAATTTCTCTCTATCCATTTGACAGCTTGTTTCCATGCAGAGTCTTTAATCACCAATTTAGGATTACATTTTGCCCATTAGATGGATAGTATGTCCAAAAACTTTAGCAAGCACTGCAAGGCAGTCTCAATTTTCTGACAGTAAAAAGCCTCCTAGATTATTTATCCATCTATAGAGGTTCATAAAAGAAACTTTGACTTTACCCTCAAATAGATGCTATTTCGACGTAATTAGCCCAATGTAAATAGATCCATGTAGGTATGTATTGGGCTTCAAAAAAAAAAAAAACCACTTATGCTCCAATACCAGCTTACATCATCACAGAGAGTTCATATAGAAGCATTTTATGACATAATTACAAGTTGATAGCTTATAATATACAGAAAATGACTTGTTGCTTTATTATTAGATGTGATGAAATCCTGTGTTTGTAAAAGAAACTGAATGACCATTTCAGTGGATTAATGTGTAACATTCATAAATGTTCCCAGGTCTGCTTTCATAACTTGACCACTGAGGGAAGGACTTTGACCTTTCCTTTTCACCTTGCATTGTTAATCTAGTCAGAGGTGCTTTTACTGAATGAGAAAAACAGTAGTTGGACATAAGCATGAGGTAAGAAAATAAGGGAAAGAAAATTATCTGGACGATTAAGCCACGTGAATAGTTTGACTGATGTTGATTCCAGTCTGTTCAAGGGGAGAGGGAAGCTGAATAATTTGGTCGTTTCCCAGCTTTGACAAACAGTTTCATTTGACACCATGAAATAATTAAGTCTTAGTAAGGAATTTTTAATATAGCTAAGTGATTTGTGGATATGAAAACCACAGATGTGTAGCAATCTTCTGTTACAGATTTTGGTGCTTCCAAGTTCCTGATTGTAGAGGTTTTTTTCCACTGTATCTTTCTGCCCTTTCTCTAAATACTTATGAAATCTGAGGGATTATAGTGACCCTGAAATATGAGGTGGTCTAGAATATTCCCACTCCTCAAGCAGAATTGCATCCCTGGCCATGCTTCTGTATCCTAAATATACCATTACTGTCTTGCTCTCAACATAGTCATATTGACCAGCAACAAAAACTCACTTCTAAAAAAATAACTTCTCAGCATGGAATAATTGGTGATGTTCCACAAAGATTTGTCAGCAAATGTTATACTCTGTACTAGAATGAAAACAAAGAAGGTGTGTTCTTTCCTTTGAATGGCTCTTAGACCTGCAGGGATAATTCTAATCAAAGACAGTTCTGCATAACAATAGCTTATATGAAATACAAAATCTAGAATGCTTGCTAGCTTTTCCAGCAGAAGTTTCTTAGACCTGCACAATTATTCATTAGTTTCACAACTTTGGTCAAAGTATTTAACCTCTTTGTCCAATCATTTCTTAATCTTCACGTTTTAGAGGCATACAGTGAGAATTACATGATAAGATGTACTGAAAGTGCATTGTAAACATGGTAAGCACTACTGAAATCCAGCACAGTATTTATTTTCCTACAAAGCACTAATAGTTATGTTTTCCTCATTCTGTTAATGAAAATGGTTGTCTGAAAATGCTAGAATATTTCTGAGAACTTTCCCACTTGTCTCAATATTGCATCCAACTACTTTGCTGTGAACCAAACCACTAATTTTGTTCCAGCCCTCTCTTCCATCTTTGTATTCATCATGAAGCAGGCCTTGTTTTCTTCTTGGAGCAATATTATGGACAGTTATTGCTTTTTTTTATTGAGGTGTAATTTATACACAGTAAAATGTATTCCTTTTGCTGTACAGTTCAATGAATTTTGACAAATGCATTCCTGTCATATAATTACCACAATCAAGATGTAGAACAGTTCCCTCAACCCCCAAAATTCCCTTGCGCTGTTCCTTTGTAGTCAGTCCTTACCCCTACCTCCAACCCCTCCAAAAGAGTGAATTTTGACCATGTAGGAAACATCAAACAAATCACGAGTATGAAGGATGGTATATTAAAGAGCATGAGGATATCAGCCCTGTGTGGCCTAAACCATAGAATGTTCAAGAAAGAAGGGACAGAAGGGATTGTTTCCAGAGGTCATAAGCCGACAGCCTATGGACTGGATCCATTCCATTGAGCTGCTGTCTTTGGCCTGCCCGTGTCTTAAAAAGCATTCAAGTTCCATTGGTCAATCTTTAAAAATGAAAAGACTTCAAATACAAATCTGGATTTCTGGCACTGTCTGAAAAACTGAAAAGCGTGGCCACACAGGGTCACCATTTCCACATGGCAGTTACTGTCTGGGGTTTGCTCTTGGTCATCCACTTTAATTGGACTTTTGCACTGCTGTCCAGTTTACCAAAGCCAGGGGTTGGTCAGTAGGCAGAAAGGGAGATGTTTCCAAGTCAAGTGATTGGAAGATCATCGGCATTAAGAGCTTGTCCATTCTGAGCACAGTCCAAAATCACCAAGGGTTAGCAAAGAAAATAAGGATGTCTTCCCTCCCTGTGCCTCTATTTGCTACTCTTAAAGAGTGAAAAAGTAAAATTTTGAAAGAAAGATTAGAAAAGGAGATTATCAGGGGATAACCTTTTACATAATATAAAAGGAAAAAGTTACGCAGTGCCGTAAAAGAAGGAAAAATAGCTTATTTGTGTTCTACTTGTCTTGTTAGACTCTTTAGTTGAGGATTTTATGTTCTGAAAGGTCAGCCTTCTTCTTTCACCCACCCAAATCCAATCTTCTGTAGCAGGCAGAGTGATGAATTATTTACAAAATGCAAATCAAATCATGTCAAGGGCTTGCTTAAAACTCCCTAGTTGCTCCTTATTGTTTGTAGGATATAATCCAAACATCTTTACGTGACATACAAGGCTGCTGTTGTCTGGCTCTTGCCCCCTTCCTGACCTCATCTACTCCTTTTCCCTTATTTGCTGAGTCCCAGCCATGTTGGCCTCCTCTCCAGGCAGTGGGGAATCTCATTTCATCTCTAGGAGTTGTGCTAGCCACAGTCCTGTATCAAATGTTCAACCTCCAAGTCTTCTCATGACTCAGTCTTGGCATTGGAGTCTCTCTCAGCTCAAACCTCACCTCTTTAGAGGAGCCTTCCCTGCCCATACAAATTAGACACAGATGCTCACCTCTTGCCCCATCATTTCCCATCACATTAAGTTCCAATCTTCAATTGCTATTTTCTCTTTCCACCACTGAGAGCTTGCCTGATTGACCACTTTCTTCCCAGGGCCTAATATATAGTAGGTGCTCAGTAAAAAATGTTGAATGAATGAAAGAACAAGTTGGTAACTTTCTTAAACTAACTGGGAGGAGGAAATTTTTAGTCTCCTTTCCAGAAATGAACACTTATTTAAGTTACTGAAATATTAGAGTGTTCTAGAAGCCAGAGAGAGGATAGAGTAATAAAGATAAAAAAGTTTTTGTTAGAATTTACTTGGTCCCTAGATTTATTTTATATCTTTTCAATATTGGTAGGAAAGGATGTTTTTCAGTTCAGACTTTTAATTTATCTGAATAATAAACCAATATTTGGAAAATCTTTCTCTCTTGTTATTTAGTTTCAGTTCTTCTGGTTATTTTCCCAAAATGCACAGAAGCAAAATGACATGGAATATTTTGGCTTGAAGCAGAGTTCTTCTCTAAGCAGACCTCTTGATTTGAAAGCCCTCCAAGCTTTGCATGTTGCTTTTGAGAACAGTTGGTACATAGCTAATCTATTTTGGAACTGAGACAAAATTTTATCATTATTTTAAAATCTAGTTTCTTTGGAGCTTAAGAGAAAGATTTTATTTTCCAAAAGAATTTTACATTTATTTAAAAGAAAAAGACTTGTGTTATTGCCATTCCCCAACTAAAATCTGTCTTAATATCTGAGGCAAAATAAGAAAGTGATGAGCTGGGCTGAAGGTCATTTTGTGTAATTAAGTAATCACATTCAAACACTCATACTTAATGGCTTTTTAACAATTTCAGGAAATCAGATATCTAACAGACAAAAGTTTACTCCTTATACAATCTTGTTCTTAGTTGCCATTCCAAATTTAAAGATACTTGTGGGGACTTGAAGGAAGCATGGCCTTTAGTAATTATTTCATGAATTTTACATCATTTGCCAATAGAATATATAATGTTTAACATGGAATATGAAACATTGAAATTATGGACTTGCTGTAATTACAATCCTAGCAAGGATTGATAAAAATTAAATAGTTGTACCATTTGCAGGTGTTAGAAATTTGGGTAAATTATCATGCTCTCTGGCCTATGGGGTACCTGTGCAAGTGTGTATCAGTGTGTGTTACAAACCCAGAATGGTCATAGATTTCCCTGCCGCATTCTTAGCATTTGGTGAGATTGCTGGACAGGAGCATGGAAAATACAGATACACACTGACAGATGAGCAAGAGCGCAGATAAAAGGGACGGAGAGGCTGCACAGCCATCATCTTCTTCATCTCAGCTGGGTTCCCCACCAAAGTAACTCACCTGGTGTCAGACGAATGACGCACGGTGTGTTTCACAGATGGGGCCTCGGTTAAGATTCACACAGGCTTGCACATTTATCTGTCACACAGATGTTTCGTCTTGTGTTTTCTAGCCAGCAAGGCAAGAGCTCAGCTTTGCTGGGGGATCACCTCCAGATGTTGCACCAAAGAGAGACCCTGCCACCCCACTGAGAGTAAGCAGACAGCGCTCCTCCCTGCAGCTGGGGCCACTCAGCACCAGTACAAATTAGAAAAGGGTTAGCCTGTACCATCTTTGTAATGGTCACATTGTACTTCAAAAACAAATAGAATACATCATCTGAATACTGAGTTGCCTAGTAAATAGTCAGAAATTTACAAATAACACCAAATAACATTTTATTTTAAAATTCGAAATAAGTCAAACCTGGCAGGCAGGTTTTCTGCAACATTTGTTTGTAGAGTTTCTTTGCTGATGTTAATTGCTAATTTTTCCACTCTGGCAAATTTCACTGTTTAAATAAAAACAGCTTTAGTCAAATACCTAAAATAAAATAACAAGTGTAGGTTAACTCTCTCTGTGCATTTATATTTTGCAAAACTGGCTCCAAGAGATCCCCATTTATCTCATTTTGTTTTTTGAAACTTCAGAGAGCACATTTTATTCCAGAGATGGTGAAAAGGTTCAAGTAGACATTGGCATTTACTTCATTACCTAGGGACAAAAGTGTCGAAGCATTGTCACTAAGCATTAATTAAGTTGCCATATTCTTAAAAAGATGAGTGAGAAAGAAACTAGGATAAATTCTAGATTTTTGACTTGTGCCTTTAGGTCATGCTGTTTACTCAGGTGCGCAATACATTTGAGTGGGATGAGAAGAAAAATTGTCTTTGATCTATTTGAGGTTTATGATACCTATTAGATAATCTAGGTCTAGGCAAAGAAGGTAAAGAAGCAGCCAAATATGCAAATTTAGAGTTCAGGTTGGCACTGGAATTGTTAATACTAATTCAGTTGTCAGAATATAGCTGTTTCAGAGGAGAATGTGAAGTAAAAGGGTATAAAAAGTTCCAGTTTTCAATAATATTGTAGTATCTTGATACAGTGACAAGGGGTAACTACACTTAGCATGGTAAGCATTTAGTAAAGTGTATAATTGCCCGATCACTATGTTGTACATCTGAAACCAATATGCTATTGTGTATCAGCTAAATTCCAAAAAAAAAAAAAGAAAAAAATCAGGATAGGAATGAAAGAGTAAATAATAAAGTAGGTTTCTTGAAGACAAAAAAAAGTTTTAGATTTTTACTCATTTTTTAGAGATGACTCAACTTCTCTTAGGTTTGAAATTCCTTCTTTATAAAATAAGAGTTTGAACAACGTTATGAGAAATTTTCTAGCTCCAACATTTTATATGTACGTGATCTCCACTCATAAGTTCCTGTTTTATGTGAAGAAACATTTCTCTTGCACCTTTAAGGAATTCTGCCCTCGGAAGATCATTTGGCCATTTGGCCTTCTTGCCCAGTTATCACAGCATTATTCATTCTGGCATTTTTTCCCCTCACACTTCCTTTTTGTACATGAGAAGTGCAGAGGAAGCCAAAGGAACTGACTGGAACCAATGGCATTGTTTCTTTACTGCACACTAAAAATTATTATACAGTTTCACGTACATTATCTGTATCTTTGATGTAAATACGATATTTGATTCATCGGCCAAATGATGAGATTTCTGGGTACTTTAATGACCTCAGAAAAGCATTAACAGGCCAGATTTCAGATTTCCTATTAAAATGTACATATGATATATTCTGTGAGCACTTGGCATTTACTTGCTATCTATAGGTTATTATAGGTCCAGTAAATTAACACACAGTTTGTCTGATCTGTGGATGCACCAACCAAGTAATATCAGCCTCTTACCTTCAAAGACACTCTGAGTTTGTCTTGGTACCCTTACTAAATAATGCATTACCCTCACCAATTCCTATTAATATCCTATTTAAATTGCCACTTGATTTGTCATTTATGGTCATTATTGACTTTAACAAGAGAAGTTCAGTCCAATAGTGTGGATGGAAGCCAAGTTGTCATGAATTCTACAGAGAATGAGAAAAGAGAAACAAAGACTATGGAGAGAGGTAACTCAAGGAGCTTTCCTGTGAAGGGAAGTACATAGTAGTGTTTGGTGAGGGAGCTCAAGGGAGGTGTTGCTCAAGATGGATGATGATAATTAAAAGTGTCCAAATGGGAATATTCCAGCAGAGAAGGGAAATGTGTGCTGGAGGGCAGAGTGGATGATTGTAGGAGTGGATGGGATCCACGGTGTAAGCTGAGGATTGCCTGAGAGAGGAGTGCAGACATTGCTCTCAATGGAACAGGAGAGTAGCACACCTTGGCTAGTGTGATGGGAGCAGGATGTGGGGTTTCTCTTCTGAGACATCTACTTTCTCAGTGAAATAAGAAGAGAAGGTATCAGCAGAGAGTGAGGAAAAGGTCTACATATGAGAGGTTTGAAGAGAGAGCAAGTAGTTTGAAATAGTCATGGACAGGGTGGGAACAAATTAACTAGAAAAATGGAGTAAGATTGTTGGGTGGCACTGAGGGCCAGTGATCATGAATTTGAAGACAAATACTCAGCATGATGGTTTGTTTCCTAGCTTATTCAGCTGCTTGCATTTGGCAGAGATTTAGTATTAACCAAGATAAGAAGTCTTACTTGTCTGTAAAGGAGTGATTTTTTTTTCATGGAGCCTGGTCCAGCAAGGAGAGAAGTGAGGGGATGAGAGGGAATGGGAGGCAATGGGAGTGTCATAGCTCAGTAGCTTGGAGGAAAATTGAGAGTCAAGGGTCAGAAGTAATGATGTCTGAAGTCGAGATTTAGGAGAGTGCCCCATTACCAGTAAATCCCAGGGCTAGGGTGTGATCACAACGTGGAAGCTGAGGTAGAGCCAAGGACAAGACCATGGAAGCCAGGAGGTCAAAGCACTGAGAGGCCAGGTTGGCACTGGGACTGGGAAAGAGAGGATTAACAACAGGAAAGTCCTCGTGCTCAGCAGGTGGTGGTTGTAGCTTCCTCTTGCCAATAATTCTACCGACAGTGAAATCGCAGGGCTTCATCGGTATGCAGGGCCACTTGAGGTTATGTGGACTGGAGGAAAGTCCGTAAGCCTGAAGAGGTTGAGTACTTATGTATTTTCACTCTAAAGCATGTGGTTAGTTTCCAAACCTAAGTAGGTGTGAGTGGGAGGTAAACTTGAATTTTACATAGAAAAATCTGTAGGCATGATTTTAGTGGTGGTATTCTAAGTGTGCTGCTCATTATAATAACTGGCATGTTGCTTACATGGGTACTGACTCAGCAGAAAACACTAACCACTCTTGAAAACACAATTGAAGATCTAGAGATGATCAGTCAATAGGGTTATTGTCAAATGAAACAAAAGGCCTATGTGAGATGAAATCATCTTGAGTATTTTCCCGGCTTATTGAGCTTCTCTGTATAGTATTTTGCTATTGTGTAAGTTAGGTGTGTTGTGTTATTTTTGTTTTAAATCATGGAGCAGTTAACTCATACACTTTGAAAGATTATGATCTAATTTACAAAATAAAGGGTCTAAAGAATGATTTTCAAGTTAAAAAAAGAACTCCTGTTGTTTTAGTGCTGTTAAAAATTTTTTTGATCCTAATTCTTTTTAAGGTTAAGGATTTCAAAATCAAAATTCACATGTTTTTTAAGTGTATTGAAGAAGGTGTTTCATCATTTGCCCACTTAGATATAGGAAAATTAGATAGACAAGAAGAACTATTGGTATGTGTGCTCTGTCTTTTATAGTGGTTGACATTTGTTGAAAACAAGATTCTGTAAGTTTTTCATTACTTGTCCTTTATTTCCATTACATTTCCTCTTTTGAGAAAAATATGCCCAGGTTTATTTAAGGATTAAAGTGACTCAGTACAACTTGTCTTTGTGAAAGTTTCATGGATTCCACAGAAAGAGTTTATTTACTTTTTCCCACCATTTTCTAAGTGTGTTGAAGTGTAATCCATTAAAAAAAAAAAACACTTAAAGACCTCATTCCCTTCCTGCAACACCAATACAACATGGAAATGATGGGGCTGCTTCGGATTTACTATTACTGAGGAAGTTGTCCCATACAAACTCATTCTGAAACTGATGTTCAGAGGTTAGAAATCAGAGTGTACTGAACTCGAGCCATTAGAAACCAAAGTGTATTTTGCTTGTTTGTTACCACCAAGAACTATTGAATTCTGAACCTTTGAACACTCTCTTCTAGCTGCTTTCGAAATCTATTGAACAACTGAAGCAACCAGGCAGTCACCTGGAGGAAGCCGAGGAAGAGCTTCAGGGGGACCAGGCGATGCAGGAAGACAGAGCGCCCTCTAGTGGCAACAGCACTAGGAGCGACAGCAGTGCTTGTGTGGATGACACATTGGGACAAGTTGGGGCTGTGAAGGTCAAGGAGGAACCAGTGGACAGTGATGAAGATGCTCAGATCCAGGAAATGGAATCTGGGGAGCAGGCTGCTTTTATGCAACAGGTAATAGGCAAAGATTTAGCTCCAGGATTTGTAATCAAAGTCATTATCTGACTATGAAATGCATTGCAGGTTTTGGTAAATGAATGTTATTTCCTATCCATTTCTATCTCTGAATGATTGGGGTTTCGTGTTTAAGGATTCTAATGAATGCAGATGTATCTACACATAGATCTCTATATATACTGATCTATATATAGATATATAGATACTAAGGTTTCACTGCAACTCCATTTGGTAAGGAAATACCTGTTACACTAAAATTATACTACCTAAGTATCTAAGTAATTAATAGGCTTTAAGTTCATCTCAAAGCCTGCCACAAGAATCACATCTAAGGAAAACGACTCACTGTTGTTTTTAGCTTGTCTGTTGAGATCAGTGACTGCTGGATATAGTTTCCCAGTCTGATCAATGAAACATTCTATTAGTTCTTGATTCTTTTTTTTTTTTGATAAATAGAGATCAATTTTCACTTTATTGTACATAATGTATCATACTACAGTCTTGAACACTGTTAAAGGTAGTCTGCCCTTTCCTTCCTCTCTCTTTTTTGTTTAGTGAAATCTTCTGGTTATCATGCCAGTAGTCCTAGGTTATTGTATAAATTGCAATTGAAAATATTAGGAATAGAGGTGGTTTTAAATATATAGACGCAAAGTACAGCACAATTTTAAATATTACATTATGTCTCACCTAGCACTGCTCATTTTATTTTGCCTTGTGTTATTTGATGACATTGTCTATTGAAAAAGATCAAAAAGAGCAAATGCCAATGTTGGCAAGAAGTGATGTGCAGCATTATGATCCTATCAAATACTATATTGTAGCTACAGTTATAGAAAACACAGGAACAGTATGATCACTATCTGACATGAAATCAAAATCATATTCCAAAAAAAGAAAAGGTGTATCCTGTTTTATAACCTTTATTGCTCGGATCTCTTAAGTATAATTCCATAATGACATGGCATGTACCATAGCATTTTGGCAAATGCAAATTAGGAAAGTTAGGCTTAACAAAAGAATCTACTTGTAAATAATGCACATTCAGAAGGACCATGTCCTTTGATGCTAAGAAATACTAACAACTTGGAAGGCAACAGAAGACTGTTTATTTAAGTCAGCTCTTTGTCAGGTTCCTGCTGTTCTCCTTCAGAAAACTGATTCTAGGAGGCTGAACAGGAAATGCCTTGTGGAAACAGGAAGTCCAAGTGATTCATGCACTGAGGAATGTAGGGGGAAAAAACGGAGGATAGTGTTTTACTCTTTCTGTCTTTAAAGAGCACTCTATGAATTGATTTATTGTCTAAGAAAATAACACCGCAAGTAGGGAAATTGTTAAGGAAGCTTTTCACTGAAACATTTCCTTCATACTCCCTTTTGATATGTTTACCTTGTTTTATAGGTTTACTTTTGTTAAGCTAGTTAAGGATTCATTGTATTAAGACTCCTTTAATATGGATAATCCAAATTGACCTAGGATCTTTGTGAGGTTTTTTTCTATTGAAATATTTATATTTCTAAATCCGAGGTATTTTAAGGTGTAGTATCCTGTTTCAAAGGAGATATAGCAGTTTTGCCATATGTAGACATTGTACAACTGTATGTTATTGGCACGTGTTGTTTACATTTTGCTGTGACATTTAAAAATATTTCTTAAAGAAAGTCACTGCTAAAGATACATTATCCTTTTTTAAAAAGTCTCCATTCAAATTAAATTAACATAACTAGAAAGTTTAAAACATTTCCGTATCATGAAAGTCCTTCTGATAATTTGACAAACAGCTATAATAGGCAACACTTCCTATTACCAACATATTTTGGTTAGTGTATTCCTTCAACTTAAAAAATGACTTTTTGTCAGTTGTTTTGCATTAAAAATATGGCATTTCTAAGATAAAATTGTATATTTTTCCATCTCATAAATATTCATTTTCTTTAAAGTCTTTTTTCAAACTCATAAAAAAGGGATAGTGCATCTTTTAAAATACATTTTATTTGGGGAGGAACATGTGGCTGAGCAGACTTTTGTATAATATTACTTCAAAGATATGTAATCACAAACAAAAAAAACCTATTTTTTATAATGTCATTTGAGAGAGCTCATCAGTATAGTTGGTGGACATTAATTGTTTGAATTTGATAGTCTTTGAATTTAATCAAGAAACTACCTGGAACCAGTGAAAAGGAAAGCTGGATTTAAGTAATCTTAGAACTAATTGATAAATGTCTTTTAAAATCTACTGTATTTATTATAATTTACACCCTTGAAGGTGATCTCTTGTTTTGTGTTGTAAATATATTGTTTGTATGTTCCCTTCTTGCCTTCTGTTATAAGTCTCTTCCTTTCTCAAATAAAGTTTTTTTTAAAAGATCCCCTTTCATACATTTGGCTTTGTGTAAACTTGATATATTTAATCGAATTCGAAGCTTATGCACTAGGTCTCATATACCAAAATATATTGCCATTTTTTGTGGAAAAATAAAAAATAAAGATATCTTGAGCACTTACTTTTAAGGCCATGAAAAATAATAAATCCAACAATAATGATTCTAAACCATTTACATGAGTCATTATCAAATTGCAAACACATGTAAAATTTGTTGCCTTTTCATTTTCCCAGTGTGGCCTTTTTCATGATATATTATCATCTCTGATGTCAACTTCTAAATATAAAATTCTATATAAATAGATGGCAGTCAGTTCCTAACTTTACTCAACTTAAAAAAAATTTTTTTTAAAGTTACCATAATCCCTTCAATATAATAAACACTCAGTTAATATTTAAATGAATAATTTTTCTTGTATCACAATAGTTAATATCCATTGCAGTGAAATCCTGACCTACAAGTATGAAATGACAGTACATAAATTTAAAGAGAAAAGAGTAGTTAGATGACTTTCCTATATATGGCAACAGTTGTTATAATTCTAGTGTGAAGAACAGGAAGCCTAGCTCAGGTAAAGGGAACTGGACCATAGGCATCTCATGGGCCAGGCCAGACTATACCCTACCCCTCTTCTGGTCAATTGCCAGCAAAACTTAATACATACTTCATGATATGTTACTGTAGATTTAGTTCAGTAGGTTAAAGACAATTGTTTTATGTTCTTTGATTCCCTTAATCTAACCTCAGTAATGTTATACAAATTAAAGTTACTCTAAATCATAACAATATCCTATTAGGTTGCTAAGAATTCTGGAGCTAATATCATTGACTATTGCAAAGTGGACTATCATTCCATGATGCCATATGTTTGATTAATTGTTCAGAATTGTGGGGATACCATTAATGCCCATCCTAATTTCCTGAAAATTGCCTTTGGACTGTAAAATTAAAAGATTAACTTGGTGCTAGAGAGATCTTCAGAACTAAGAGTCAGAAGTATCTATTCTTTTATACTGTATATCTGAGTTCCAAAGCATAAAGTAGTTGTTTCCATAAAAAACATCAATTTCCTATTAGAAATTTCTTTTCCAGAAAATCAGGTTTTGCCAGGATTTTCAGTAAATAACCATTAGATTGCCTTGCCTGGCAGTAAAAAGCCACCTTCTCATTGGTGAAGATGGAGGCCAAAATGGAGACAGCTACCTTTATAGATCATAGATTTTCAAAGAAAGATGGTCTTTAAGAAAATTTTGTTGTTTCATACTTTTTTTTTTCCCTAAAGGATTAGGCATTCAGACACTAAATGCTTTTTTGTGGTTGTTTTTTTGAAACCTAATACTAAACATGCAGGTAGACAACAGTATTTTTTTTAATTTGGCAATTCTTTGTGATTTTCTTTCAGTAACAGAAGCATGCAGTGGGTGTACAATTGTGAATTAACAATGGTAACTAATCTAGGTCTACAAATTATAACCAATTACAATCAGGAAGCTGGAGAGGCAACAGAAGGAGTTTGAGAGGTAGATTACCAGTCCTTTTATTATTGATAATTCCTCCATCTGGGTTTTTAAGGGAACATACGGGAGGGCAATCAGAGAATTTAGGCAAATAAAACAAGATATTGGGAATATGACTTTTCAGAACTTTTCTATTTAGATTTTAAAAGGTTTTTATTCTTTATAATAACTTCTGTAAGGCTTGTAGACTCTAAAATTTACACCAGACAACTTTTGGGGACCATCTTGATTTACAAATTTTGAACTATTGTAAATATGCAATATATCTGGTATTGTTGTTTAAGCACTTTACACTTTATTAACTCATCTACTCTTCACAACAACCTGACAGGAAGGTATTATTGTCCCATTGTAGACAGGAGGGCACTTGGGCACAGAGAAGTTAAATAAGGTCAAGGTCACCCAGTCAGACACAGTCTAGCTCTAATCTCAACCCAGGTACTCTGGCACCAGAATCCTCGTTTTTAGCCTTTACCACTGCACTGTATTTATGGAACAATTCTTTTTATAAGTGTAAGTTTATTAAATCATTAGTACTATTTTTTTCTCTCCTCTCCCTCTCCCTGTCCCTTCCTTTCTTTTTCTCTCCCCCTCTTCCTCCCACCCCCACCATCAGCATTTCCAAACTGTTTTGAATCGATTTTCTCTCTTAATCATAGCTATAAATTGGGACATCATGACTCTTTTTCTGATTCACCAGTGAGAGATGTGATTCTTGTACAGATTACATTCAACCATTTTGAATCGTGAATATTTGTGTTTTTCTTTTTTCTTATCAGAGCCAGTCCTGGGATGGGGTGAAACAGAGTGTTAAACACTGCACTTGTGTTTAACTTTTGGGGATGAGAAGGAGAAAATATTTCAACTTTACTTTGCCACTTCTTACCTGCATTCCCCAACCAAGGCTAAGAGACTCCAGTTTCTAAGCTATCAGGATGCTGCCTTTTAAAAACATTTTTGACCTGTCTTCAAGGATGCACTTAATAGTCATTTTGAAACTAAAGTAGTCTGTATAAAATGTTGTGAAAAGAAAAAATTGGTTATTTGTCTTGAGTGTTAGACTCCTGGGTGGTTTTCCAATTGAAAGGTGAA